GCCACACTGAAAAGACTGTATTAAAACATAAAATAACTAAATTCTATGAGGAATTAATAAAACTCATGACCTTGCAGTAGCAGGTTTTGATAGTGGGAGGAAAATAAGCCAAGGAAAATGACTTAAGAAAGAGTATGCTAGAATAGCTCTTTGAATGCTGGGTCACAACAGGCTTTTTCCTGTACAGGCCCCAGAAACATTTCTCAGCCTAAGCTGAACTTGTGTTTATTTAACTTTACTCTGGTATTTCTTCCTGCTTCTGAATTTATCAATAAAATCTGGTTTTATTTAAGATAACTTGTGTATGTCTTGGATAAAACAAGCAAACAAAAAAACCCTCTAGTTTTTCCTTTGGGAGTGTGAGTAGGACCGAGACAGTTAATGGCCTTGTGGTTGGGCAATTCATGGAGAAGTTTGAGAGTCTCCCTGGACATGACCACAGACTTGCAAGAGTTATTGTCAACAAAGGAGAAGGTAATGATAGAAATATTGAATGTGTTGGTTACAAAGAAAATATATGTCTGTAATGTGGCTTTAGTCTAAGTTAAACTTGACTTTTCAATATGAAACATTCTGGATCATGTTGGGAGCAGGAAAGGTATCATTAATGTGCTGTTTTAGTTTCCACATAGCAACTTCACCTTTCCTATAGGTTATGGCTTCTACTTTTCACTCAGTAAGAAACAGGAATTATGTTAAGATCCTGAATATTAAATGTTGAAAGCCAATTGAACGCTATACACTTTGTAAAGCTGCTAATATTTCAATGTTAGGGCCAACTGGATTTTTACACAAAAAACTTGTCTTGAGCCATGTCACTGTAGGGCAGAAAATGAAGAGTTGGCTGTATGGCCTGCTGATACCCAGCGAGAGACATGCTTGCTTTAAATAGTACATGTGGAATATCCATAAATCGTATTTCTTAGATTTCATAGGAAGAGATTATTATTTAGTCTTAAAGGTGCCAAGGGGTTAAGACAAATCTGAATAATTGAACAGCCTGTAAAATTCAGGTTGGGAGGAGATTTTCAGGGCAGTCACAGCTGCAGAAAATTCTGGCAACTTCTCCTGAGGAGAAAAATATTCATGTGATTTCAGGTTTATGTTGCTTTAAGGGTGGTAAGTACTTCAGTTATGAGCCCATTTGTAACAAGAAATTCGTGTTTTAAACAGGAAAAAGTGTCTTTAGGGATCGGAAGTTCCCTGTGTCAATAGTAATATTCACAAAATCTGCACGCTGCCCATCTGTTAGTAGTAAGATGGAAAACCCAGCAGCATTAGTGTAGCTATACTTCACTTTTTGGCACTACTTAATGTGCTTGTTATCCTTGTGACAAGCAATGAGTCCTGTTGTACTTAATCATGCGCAGACACAAGTAGCAGGTAGTCTTTCTGCCCCAAAGACTTTCCTGTCTAACTAGATAAGGCCACTGGAGAGGAGGATGCAATGCACAGAGTATCTGATAGAAGATGTTATGTTGGTTAAATTTTTTTTTTATTTTTTTTTTTATTTTTTTTTTTTTAGGTTTGGTTAGGAAGTGGTAAGTCAACTGGGATGAAACCCTGAAGGAAAGAAGGCAAGGCTAGGTGCTGGGGAGAAAACCATGCAAGGGTGCTGTTGCAGAGTACAATTGAGGAAGGAGCAGTGGGAAAGAGATTCAGAACAAGCAGCTGAGGAGCACAGGGTTGAGGAAGTCGTGCCAAAATCTGGTTGCTCTATGCTCGCTGCCTTGGCAGCTTCTGTAGCTGCTCTTGCTGTCTGGGGTTTCTGGTTTGTTCTTCCCTAGCAGTATTTGTTTAGATGGTATGGCTGGGGAAGAAGGAAAAAGCAACACCTAAGTTCCTGCACTTTGAAAATTATGTCCTCCCTTACATATGTTTTGATATAGGACAGTCCAGTAAAGAGGAATTGTCCTTTTTGAGACCTTTTGGGGCTTTTTGTTCTTTTTATTTGCAACAGGTCCTTAACCTTGCCATAGTCTTGCCTCACTCATGCCTGTAATACTACAGTGCATGTATCAGTCCCCACCTTTGGAGCTCTATTCTGTTGTTTTCACCCATTGATTTTTTTTTTTTTTAAGTATTCTAGACTACAAAAGCACTGGAAATGTTGTGTTTCTTTTTCTAAAATGGAATTTCAAGTAATTTATTATACTACCCTATCTCTGAATATATTTTTGCCACTTCTGCTTTTTTATGCTGCTTTGTGAAAGACCCCATAAGAGAAACAACTAAACAGATGGAAAATAATGAAACAAGCAAGCTTCAAATTGCCATCAAAGTACATAATATAAATTAGCTAAGGCTAGACATTTTCTTAAGTATATTTTACAGTATTCCTAAGTGTTCATTCTGACAGTAATATCTAAAATGCATTATGTTTATGTGCTGCTAAAGGATCAAAAATACCTAAATGAAAAATAGCTCAATTACTGAGTCACTTTTGATTTGACTGCTAAAGTGTATTGGGGTACAATGTAGCCAATCAACCTGTCTGTCAGCTTGAGGCTTCTTTTCCCTGTAGAACCTTTAAATAGTTTGAATATTCCGTCACTTCTGTTTTCTTTTTTTAGTTCTTAGGAATTCTTTCTTGGAAGTTGTGCCTTAGCACAAATAATCTTTTGTGGTACTATGCTGACTTTGTACTTTCTTGTACTGTGCAGGAATTCTGAAATATGATAAACTACTGTGTTTTGCAATGCATGAGATGCCTTTTACCCTACTGTGTAAATGGAGATACACAATTATGTATATGACCTGCCCAATAAAGTATGTAACAATTAATATGATAGTTGAATTCAGACCAGTTACTTAAAAAAGATACAACCTTCTCTTTCGGTGGTCACTTTGAACTTCAGTGTGAGCCTGATTTAAGATCAAATGAGGACAGATCCAAATCTAGATATGAATTACTGCAAATATTTGTACCTGTAGAACAATATCTGTCGCTTAATAGCAAGTTCTGTTGATTAAAATTTTATATTCTCTGTTTGGTATTGGTTCATATGTTGTTTACTGTAGCGTGTCTGATAGTTACTAATATAGATCAGCAGCCATGATGTTTTTACATTGCAAAGTAGAGAGGAAAAAACAGAAATACAGTTGTGGTCAGATGATTTAGTCCACTAAAAGTTGACCAGGACACACAAAATTTGCTGAAAATCAAGAAGTTGGTCAAGTGAAGCACATTACGAGTTTTGTCTTATCAAGATTTGTATGTTGGAAACGGCAAAATAACAGTACTGTAGGATTTCTGTGAAAACGTACATTATTACTACAGATTCATGAGGTATCATAGTCTGCCAAAGCAGTGATTACTTAAGAAAAGGAAAAAATATTACAGAGTGCTTTCAGGTATGTCATAGAAACAGGAGGGTCAAAATACTGCAGGAAGCAAGGCAAATTGGAAACATGTTTGAGATTTGTTCTTAAGATAAGCTATGGGAAAGTGGAAGGAATAGTCTCAGTAAAACCAGTGACCATGAAAACATACTATACATCATGGTATATTATGGTGCTGTGTATGTGGAATTTCTAATGGCAAGTGAAATCTTTATTGGTATTTTTGGGCTGTAAAGATGAGTAAATGAAAAAAGGATAGAATAGCAAATAGTCTTAATGAGATGCAGACATATTGGGGCTATGAAGAAGCCACTCCTGCTAATTTTTGTCATGTAAGCGTAGAACTGCTTGAACAGAGACTGTGTAAAGAAGGAAGCGTGCTGCTTGTCATGCCTTATTACACATCAGAGCTTTTGCCATTGGATGTTTCCTGTAATAAATCTTTGAAAAGTGTTATGAAGAAACACTGGAATAAGTGGGTGATGGGCAGATAATCAGGTGTTTACACTGCAAGGAGTTTAATAGGTCTTACTATATAGGCTTGTTAGTTGAACATTTTGAAATGGGTCATAGCAGAAGCAAAATGTAGCATTAGCAAGGCACTTGCTAGTAGCAAGGGTGACTGTTCAAGACAATTTAGAGCTACAATTCTGAAAGAGAGAGAGAATTCTGTTGTTTCAGTGGTTGTGAAAATCAAGATGACGTGCATTTAGTGATGAACTATGAAAAAGACTACTGATTAAAGGTAAGGAAACAATAAAGCTTGTCTTTACTGCTGTAAAGTCATATAAAGAATGCAAATTATTTTACTGGAAGTAATCATTACAATTCAAACTGAATAATTTTTAACCACTTTATCTTTGAGGGATTGATGGAGAAGCGCGTCTTCTGCATAGAAAACACGGTACCTGTTGTTAATTTTAGGATTTCTTTAATTGTACTTTCTTCAGAGTTTTAATAATGGTTACAGTCCTGCTTCTTGGATTCTTGCTCTTCAGTTGTTAATATGACAACCCTTATGCTTCCTGTTCTGAGGCACTGCCTGAATTTGTGCCAGTGCAGTTGTAATTTTACCCAATCTTCATCCGTTTCCTTGTTTAATGTTAACGTCTACATAAACATTATTTAGTCATCAATTACATTTTCCCATTTTATTGTTTTATAGTGGCAAATTTACCATGTCTTAGAAGTTAATGAATGATAGATCTAGAGTTTGATGTTTCCCAGAAAGGTGAGGAACATCAGATAGCAGCAGCAAAGTTTTCCTGTACCCTGATGTACATGTGGGAGGCCAACTTAGTAGGTGTAACTCATATCCTTGTTGCTAAGGCTTTCAGTGATGGTATATCAGTATCGATGTTGCTTTTGGGCACATACCAGGTGAACGTTGCTTTAACATGCTTTTCAAATAAAAAATTGAAGTGTCTGTCCTGGTAATTGCAGCTGCATGAGAAACAGTTGCTTCTAATAATGTATGGATAATCTTTAGTTTTTTAATCCACAAGCCCTTTACCTGTAATAGTCTGTTTTTATCTGTCGGCTTATTTTAGTCTCGTGTTGTTGGACATCGTAATACAGAACAGACTGGTAAATTGCAAAAGTGATTTTGTTATGATTTCTTTCGGCTCATGATGGTGGTGGTTGTTGTTGTTGTTTAGGAAACCTGAATTGACTGACTCTGCCTCTCTGCTAGAGACCTTCAAGTTTCTTGAAAATGCAGCTGCAGACTTTAGTGATGAAGAAGATGAAGAAGATATTGAAGGAAGAGAGAAAACAATCATTGATACTGCAACAGTGAGTGGAAAAAATAATTGAAAAAGTTACGAAGAACAGAAAAAATGAGGTTAATGAGATGCCTATATGCAAAGTATATCACTGTGTATGTACACGTGCAAATCATTAATGCATCTTTATGATGGTCTGTCCAAGCATGTGTGCATAAGAGGAATTATATATGCATTTCTGAGTTTGTGCATACAAGTTAAGCTTTGTCATCTTTATTGCTTCAAGTTTGCAGCGACAGATTAAAATTTTTTTAAATTGTCTTTCTACTATTCCATCCTGCCCAGTGTTTTTGATATCTATTGGACAAAATTTTTAAGATAGCAGATGTCCTTTTTTTACAATTTTCAGATAGTTTGGAGGTATTGTTCGTAACGTTACATGTCAAAAATGCATTGTTTCTTGAATATTTATATAAATGTATTGATATTTAAAATTACTTGTAGAAATTTATCCTTGTAGGGTACAGAACTGAAATACCACATTTCTCTTTAAATAGCTTGTGGAAGGAAGAACAAGTATAACTGGAAAAACTCTGACATGTGATTAATGAACTTTTTTGTTTGTTTATTCAGTCAAATACCTGAAACTCCCTCATGATCTATACTTTGCTATATGATTTGGTCATATGATCACATAAGATAGATACATACAATCAGTACTCAATTTTATCCTCTTCTTTTCAAAGTTAATATTTATTCAATGAGTTGCGTTTCCTAACAGTTGAAGTAGATAAGAGTTATGAGGGACGTGATTGTTTCTATGATCAGTTTTAAGAATGAACACTTAAAAACCCATCAGTTTTAAAGAGGAGCTTTGTAAGCTTGTTCCTCTCATCCATGGGCTGTGACCTAATGTCTGAGACTCTTCTGTAAAATCATCTGTAATACAGTATGTTCAATAAGTCTGCTGAAGGAATGAAGCTTGAAATTTAGAATTGCTTCAGGTTTTGAAATTGGCTCATTGTATTTAGAGGAAACAGTCATTCATCCTCATGAACGATGGGATGTTGGCAGATGTTCAACTATTGGATATTGAAGTCTTCTCAGACTTCTCAGACCCTTCACAAGGTGCCACGTCAAAACGCTGTGATGAATGTAATTTTTCTTTTTCTGTAGAAGTAAAATTTATGCTACAGATTTCATGTATCATGGCATCAGCTCACCTGTTAGTCAAACAACTGTAAAGCTTTTAGTCCATTTTGATCATTGAAGGAAAAGTAAATTTACTGCATTTCTGTATGCAGAAAGCATACAGTGAGGTCCTTCATAAAAACATGTATTTGTTCTTTTACCAAAATTTGATAATTTTATAATTTTTTTTACCAAATTTGCTTTTGAATTTGAAAGGGAAATGCAGTTTAAACATGGAAGTACCATGTTTAAATAACTGAGAATGTATTCAGGATGGAATGCTTTTTGCTAAACCTAAGCAAATTATCTCTTGTCAGTTGGTTTGGGTTTTTTTTTTCCCTAGACTTGTCTTTTGGTCCACATGTAGAGTGATTTCAGGGATGTGAGTTTAAAACGCTATTTTCAGAGAAGCAGAGTGAGTTTGGTTTTGCTGAAGTCCCTTCTACAGCATTCTGGGGATTTTGTTTGTGGGTTTTGTGTGTTGCTTTTTTTTTTTTTTTTTTTTAAAAGCTGTATTAACAGAAAGTTTGTAATTCTCTGGTATAAAAAAAAATAGTGGTCTAGGTCAGTGTAGACTTACTATCCAGTGATCGATTATTGGTGTTCGTGGGAAGAAAGATCTACAGACAAATTTCATTTTGACTTAGAAACTTGAACAAAGTCTGTATACTTATTCCAGATTTGCTTATTAATGTATACTTTTCTGCTTCTTTAACTTCCTGTTAGGATTTTGCATAGAAGACGAGATGGTACTGCTGGGTATAAAGATGTGCATGTAACTTGATTCAGCTTTTTTGTCTCCTTCCTGACCTTTCAGATTGTAAGGAAAAGAGTGCTATCTGACAGCAGTGAAGACAGAGATACAGAAGAAGCTTTGAAAGAGTTTGACTTTTTGGTTACCTCTGATGAAGGTGATGGGGAATCAAGAAGTTCAGGAGATGGAACAGACTGGGGTAAGGAAGTTTAATGGATTGTACCAGGAGGAAAAAAAAATGTGCTAAGAATATATTGTGACTGATTGATTGATTGAGATCTCTGTCATGATCACAGCACCTTTTGAGTATTCCTGCAGTAAATAATTGGCAGACTGAAGTCCTCTTGACATAATATTCTCATTTTTCTGTATACTACTTCAAGGATTCTTCAAGGTTTATCTTTTTGGTCATTATCTTTTTCCTTTAATAATAGGGTAGACAGAATTTGAATTTTATGAGCGGAATTTCAATGTGTTTTCCCAGTGACCCATGCTAATGAAGGGCTCTGATAAAGTTGTATTTTACAGTTATGACATGAAAGTTATTTGTCGTCTTTGGATTCTCCCACTTTGATACAGAGAGTAATGTGAGTCATAAAGACTGAATTAATTGTACTCTTATTGTGTGTTAGCAATCTGGGCAATATGAGTTATTCAGTTGGTCAAATTTTCTTTTATAATTTATCAGAAGAATAGATCTTTACACCCCCTAGTCATTAGAGAGACATTTCACAAACTGTTCTCTGTCCTTTGAGGTTTGTGTCCTGCAACCCAGAATGCCAGCATCCACTTTACCTTGACATAATTATTCCGCATAAACCCACTGCATAGGGAAGGGAAGAAGGAAGAGAACTGGTTAAATATCTTGATGGGGAGTTGTTTCTTCCTTAAGCTGCTCTGGAAAGTCTTAAGCATAAGTGGACACAGAGGGGAGATGAATAGGAAGTAATTGAGCTTTATAATGGATCTGAAACCTCGACAGACAAATAAGCCATGGGAGCTGTGGATCTCACATTAGCTAACAGCTCCAAGATGCTGTATTTCACTGAAGCCATGTCCAGCTCCTGGCTGGACTCCAAATTATTGTACAGTGTGGTGTAGTCTCTCTGCTTAAGAGGATGTGCCTCAATATCGTTAGATACAGCAGTCAGTATTCTGTTCACCAAACAAATATAGGAATGTTACTCTTTTTTACAAAAAATATTTTTATTAGGTTGTTCTGATACTTCTCGTTAATATTAAATTTTATCCATTTATGCTTGATAAGTGTAGCTATTGCTTGTGTCACTGAAAAGTTAGTATGCCAACAGGAGCTTTTTTGTTCTCAAATTCACACTTCTGGTTTATTTTTACTTTCATTGATGACAGCTGAGTACAAATGAGCAAAAGTCTAACACTGAAAATAAATTGTCATGGAAAGTAGTAAGTTTCATTTCTAGAAATACTAAGGGGTTTTTTGAGTATAGACGTTCATGTTTTTCAGTTACTTGTTTCACAACCTGTGTCTTTTATTGTAACTGTATATAAGAATAAGCTTCTTCAAGGAACTGCTGTTATGAATCACTTTGATTTAAGTGAAACTGTTAAGTGTAGCATGGAAGAGTGATGTTGTATAGTGAGGATAGAAGCAAACAAAGGAAGTCCTTGCTTCATTTTGGATCCCAACCACTACTGATCAGTTAGAGTAATCTGTTGAACCCATTTGGCTTGACAGGTCCTCAGAAGAGTTCAGGTAATTTTTAAACTATAAAGCTCTTGCACGGTAGTAGTTCAGGATCCACTTGTGAAGTTGAACAGAACCTGTGGGACATGCAGGAAGCATCCTGGGACAGTCTGTAGAAGATTAACGTATTAAGTATTTTCCTGGCAACAATACAGTCTAATATAAATTCATTTAAACTTTTTGTTGGAGGAGAGCAAAAAATCTTGTCTAGGCAGGGAGGAAAAGCATGATTAAAACTTATAACCTGGTCCCAGAAACAATACATACTTGTTTCTCTCAAGCATGATTTTCTCATACCTCTTTTCAGTTCTTCACGCAATTTGTGATCATTCGTGGTACTTATTTGGGCATGTGTATTAAGAGGACATGACTTAGCCCACAGACCATTGTTTTAGAGCCTCTCTCCAGCTTATTAATACCTCTCTATTTTCATAGCAGCTACAAATAGCCTAATGTCTCAAGACTTCGAGTGTTGATTTAATCTGTCACTCCTGAGTATAGGATCATGACTGAAAGGGGTGAGAGATCATCTAGTCCAACCTCCTGCTCAGATCCATTTGCAGCAGGTTACTCTGGCCTTCTGGTCAAGTTTTGAGTATCTTCCAAAAAAGAAGTTCCCATAAACTCTCAGGGGCAGTATTCTGGTATTTGACTGTCCTCATAGTAAGAAGTATTTTGCCCTTCTGTGATGCAAGTCTAAGCAGAGTCTGTCTCTGTCTTCTCTACACCTGCCCATTAGGTAGTTGTAGGCAGTGCTAAGATGCCTCTTCTGCCATTGCCGAACACTCACAGTAGTCTCAGCCCCTCCTTGTAGCTCACCTGCTCCAGCTACCTTAACCATCTTAGTGGCTCCCTGGACTTGCTATACTATGTCAATAGTAGGTACTTAGCATTACATTTACAAGGTTTCCCAGTATAAGAAATATTATACTGGATGCAGTGCTCAAGGTGTGGTCTGACAAGTGCCAAACAGAGGGGAGTAATCACTTCCCTCACCCTGCTCTCTATGTTCTTGTTAATACAGCCCAGGATAGGATTGATCTCCCTTGCTGCAAGAGTACGTTGCTGACTCCTGTTTGATTTGATGTTGATGGAGGATCACTAGGTGTTTTTTAGCATAGTTTTTCTAACAAGTCAGTCCCCATAATAACCCATGTCTGGTTTTGTATCTTCTGTCCAACCATAGTCACTCCTTCAGATTGTGACTGATAGGGTTCTGCTTCCTCTATAGACATTTAATACTCTTTCTGCATATTAGTCTGAGGATAAGTTTATTATTGTTCGTATTTTAAAGGGTCTAGAATAGTTTATTGATGTACAAAGCAAACTTGGTCTGAAAGGAATTAATTTTTAAATAATAAGGTTGAGATTTTAATGGGGGGAAAAAAGCAAAAAGATAACGCATGTCAAAAAATTTTGTAGCTGTAATGGTCATGAAAGTAAATATATATGAGGAAAAGCTGTATTACCTCCCTCCTCGCAAATTTTTTGTTTTAAGCTGCCTCAGTACACTCTTTCTGTATATGGAAAAAATTACTTAGAGTTTTGAACTCACATAACACATTTTGTTCAAAATTTCCAAGTACCATACTACTATTGGAAGAATACTTCCCTGTATCATGTCGCAGGGGAAGCAATTTGAGAGAGATGGGTTGGGGTTTTTTGTCGTTTTTTTTTAAAGTGGGGATTCTTTTTTTTCATTAGGCATGTTGAAATGTTTTGTGTATTTTCTCAAAGACTAGTAACTCAGGCCTTCCAGTTTCTGTGAAATTTCATGGCTTTAGTGCTTTAAGATTTTATTCAAACCTTAGTGACATGTATACTGTGTTCCAAAATGATTTAAATGTGTTGCTGCTTTGTGTAAATGACAACATAGCACAAAGGCAATGAAATGAGAATTTGAAATGCAACGCAACATCTGAGTTGTAAAGTTATGTTGACCAGTACCATAGCTGCTGCTTCTAAATGTAATAATTCTTTCCCTAGAGGAAAAAAAAAGCTGAAAAATATGTCCTGATTTATTTTAAAGTAAATGTGGCTTACATTTCTGAACAGCTATGTGCTTGGTTATAGAAATTAGGCATGTGAAATTTCATCTCAATTTTTTATTAAGAAAATTCTGAGCAGTAGAAGTGGAATGTGAGTAGCAGTTTTACAGCTTTCACAAGCTTGGTGCTATTTCTGTCTGTTTAAAATAAAAGACAAATGCCGTTGACAGCAGCTGTTACCTCCTTCAGTGGAGATCACTTGGTGACATTATTGAAAAAGGATGTTTCATTTGTTTTACTTTGTTTAGAAAAGGAAGACCAGTGTCTCATGCCTGAAGCCTGGAATGTCGACCAGGGAGTAATAACCAAACTCAAGGAGCAATACAAAAAGGAGCGCAAGGGGAAAAAGGGGGTGAAGAGTAAGTGGAAAACATTGCACCTTAAAATCATAAATCTCACATCTTTCACACCCTTAATTCTATCTCTCTTTCAATGTTTTCCTAAAATTACTTACTCTTTTACTTTGCTGCTCCTGACTGCTTTCCTGTTCACCAGTTCTCAGGGGTTGAAATTAATGACAGTCAATCAAGTTACCTGATAAATAGGTGGATTAGATATAACTTCTTCCAACCAGGTGTTGGATTAATTAAAAATTCTTGCTTTGAGCATGGATTATACTTGTGTTATTCAGAAACTTAAATTGTAAAAAGGCATTGGTTTAATAGTTCATGCTTTAATATAGAAGACTTCAGAACCCTTTCTTAGCTGGAAACATGCCAGTTTCACAGGAAGAGCTAAAGTCTGGTATGTAAATTAAAAAAAAAACAAACAGAAACTGTTTTGAGTATCCTATTAGATGACAGAGGGAGAAAACAGGTTAATTTCTACCCCTGTTTATACTTAACATTCACAACATGAAAGTCATGCTGTCATCCTAATTTGTTATGCAGGGCTCGAAATAGGAAGCAACTCTGACCATCAGTTTATTTGTAAATCACAGGATTTAATTATTGACTTTCATACCTGTGGGACTAGCTTTTTAAAATGTTGGGTATTGTTATCCAAACAAAAAGACTGTGATCAGTATCTGAAATACAGTTTCTAGCCCTGTATTGTATTTTTTGTTATATTTCTTGAAATACAAATCTATTTTGTAAAATCGATGTTTTTTGATAAGTAAGCTTTAAAATTTTTTGAACTCAGATGAAGTGTTTAAAATGAAACACTGTATTCACAGCTATATTTCAAACATCTAGCCATATTGAGAATTCATATGTGAATGATGTAAACTAATAATACTGCATGTAGCCCAGTAAGAAATTTGAGGGATGTTTCTCTCTTTATGGGAAGATGCTTATGAATACCAAGAAAATTCTCACTTCTGGAGAGACATGCGTAACGACGCAAAAGGCGTCAGATCCTCGCATCATTGAGGCTGACTTGTTTTACTTTTTGTATTGATACTGTGATAAGCTGCTGCTCAGCAGTTGGTTATGTTGCTGAAATTATGCTATCAAATACACAAACTAAACCACTTTTTTTCTTTTTGATGAAAAAAAGTAAATCGTTGCCGTACTTGAAATTTCTCAAGTGATATTTTTGTCATCTTTGGAATCATTTAAGTTACCGGAAATAAATTGCAAGTCTGACAAGAAGCTGAGCTGGCCAACTAAAGTATTCATGATTCACAAAATTGACTCTAAATTTCTTTATAGTTAAGATGGAGAGGGCATACCAATATATGACTTCAGTGAAATTGATTTTTGTAACTTGTCTGTTATTTTTAAAATACACAGATGTGCTGTGTAGTTCAGGGTAAATAGTTGTAGGGTTAACTTAGCAGAAATTATTTAATCAAACTGTTGAAATTATATTCTCGAACAGCTGTTGAGTGCTTTTTATTTTTGATAATAAAACTTAATATTTAATTGTTAATATAGACATAGATATTATTGGAACATGTTTTATATATTTATGAGAAAAATTCCTCATCTAAGGCAGCACTTGGACATCTAGTGCTCCTTCATGAAGATAACTACTGCTCGGTACATTTACAGTACCTTTTGGATTGATTTGATTGGTTTGATCTTGGGATACCAAATGGTTTACTGCAGTACAGAAATTAAGCATCTTTCCATGGACAAACCATCGTTGGAAGGGCATCAGTGCAGAAAAATCAGGAAGAATCACAGCGTGTTTTCAGCTATTCATGATATTGCACATAGTGAAGAAGAGTGTGAGGAAAGAAGTCCAGGGAAAAAGAAGGGACTAAATATCTTGACATTAAATTGTACAAAGTTTGTTTCTATGACTTTAATCTCATCATAAATGGTGCTTAGACGCTGAACTGCTATTAAGTAAAATATTGTTTTTATAAATCAGATATTACAGTAAAACAATCTTGCAAAATCCTACCTACTGTTTTCCTGAATCAAGTAATATTTTTGTGACGGACAAGTTAAATACAATTTAGTTTATTATCAGTCATTATGGTTAGGGTGGACAAAGTAGAGTTTGCAACTGCATTAGTAAACTATGATTTTGCAAGGCTGTAGTAAACACTCCTGTGAAGTAATAATAGAATCATAGAATGGTTTTATGCGAGAATACATATATTAGAGTACACTTCTGTGTTAAAGCTGCTTAAAAATAGCTGTATTATTTACTGGTCTAGGAAAAAACATAATGGACTATGGGTAAGACATTTTCCCATTCTTAATTAAACTTACAACAGGAAAAACTACCGAAGATATGTTTCAGCCTCAATCCTATATAAAACAGTCAAAACAGGGATGTGGGAAAATGATGGAGCAAAGCACAGGTAAGTGTCAAGAAGGGCATGGGTCTTCACCATACGTAGCTTCAGGAAGTAGGCCAGTGAATCCAGTTGCATTTATATTTTTTAATATAACTTTTTGGATTATATAGTTCACAATACTACACTACTGCACAAATAAATTTAAAATAATCATGTTGTCATAAGAATATGCTGCACAAAGTACCTGATGCACAAAGTTTAAAATATTCACAAATGTCAGCTATTGTTTTGGAAAAGTAAATATTCTAATAATCAGTGTGACTCAGTTGGAGGCATTCTTCAGCATCCCATGCAAGTAGCAGTATGAGTTGATAAATGTGGGGAAAATTGTGCGTTCACAATTCTCAGTTGCTTCTATCACTTTCTTTTCAAGAAATTCATTTCATGCTGGATGATTAGTTACTGATGAAAATAGTTGCTCATTAGTTTTTCTGTGGTAACGTTATAATGTAGGGTAGGATCCATTGTTGCATGTGCTGTCGTAGCATATCTGCTGTAAGTCGTGCCGTCATGAACTATGCATAAACCATTTAATTTTTTGTTTTTTCTGGTTAGGGCCCAACAGGTCAAAGCTGCAAGATATGCTTGCAAACTTGAGGGATGTTGATGATCTCCCTTCATTGCAGCCATCTGTTGCACCTTCTTCTAGGCCCAGTAGCTCAAGGCTCATTGAACATGAGATAAACAGGACGGATGAAGGTAAGTATTAAAAATGTGCATACACCTTTGTAAAGGGTAGATGTTTGTAGTTACTTCTATTTAAAGATCATTCTCTAAGACTGTCCAAGCACTTTACAAATACTGATTCAGCATTATGAGTTCTGTCTAAGTGTGATAAATGGCATTTCCATTCCTCCCCTCTGGTCACTATTAGTAAGGCCAAGACGCCTACCTAGGTAAAGTCTTGGCTGAATACCGTTGAACATTTGGAACTTGGTGGATATGAGGATCTTAAGTCACTCGCTTTTGTTTGTGCTCAGGCCTGGCAGTCAAGTGTGGAACATAAACTCTCAGGACATAAAAACATCTGTTTTCTCCCCATGAACATAATTTTAAATGTATGTATATGTATACATATATACACACACATATGTATGTGTTCTTTTTTTAAGTGCAAAGATACAAGCTCTGCAGGTAAACAAAAGGGACTAGGTATAGCTTTTAAATGCATGTGGTGATTGTGTAGTCAATCATACAGAACAACTTACAGCTTGCCAGTATGTTAATTTCCATAATGTGTTCCAAAAATTAAAAAGAAATTCTCATAGCAGCTAGTCCAAGTATGGAAAACCACACATCTTTGCAATGAGGCATGTGGTTACCATAGTGTTATGTCTGAAAGTTGCTAAGTCATCTATTTGATTCAACATTTGAATTGCTATAATATGCAGCACAATAAAATAAATATATAAGGCTACATTAATTTGTGGAAGATCGTATCATGTTCTTTATTTAAATGGTAAATATGTCTTTTGAAAAATGAGCAAAACACGGGTTTCACTTAGCAGTCTTTCAGTGAGCATGAAAAGTAGGTTGGCCAAGTTATAATTAAGATGCATAAAAAGCCCCGGCGTGTGGCATAGTTACCAAAGATCTCAGTAGTTCTATTTCTTAAACACTCAGTGATTTTCTTTATGAAAGAAGGGGGTAACTTAGCAACACTTTGAAAAGTGGAGGAATTTTTTGTTGAATGTTTCCTTTCCAACTTTTCTCACATGTACTGAGAGCCATACTAGCAGAGCTCTATTTTCATGTCCTTTCCAGAATGTGTTTTTTAATTCAGAGACTCAGATGGACTCTCACAAAAACAGAAGAGGACAGCTGAATAATAATCAGTCCATCAGAGTTCACTATTACAAAAATAAATCTGAGACTCTATGATATTTTTGGCATACAGGTGGTTTTTTTTTATTCTAGTAACTTTTCAAATTTGATGTCCTATATGTATTGCTTGTTGAGTGGAATATTACATCCTAAGTTCAAAAGAGAGAAAAAGAGAATGGTAGTTTAGGCTTCAGGGTGAAGAAAGTAAGAGATGTTTGTGATTAAAAGGTAATAACTAAGAGACCTAATCAAATGGCAGAGCTTGAAAGGCTTTTATTTGGTTGTAAAAAGTAATAGAAAGCAAAGAGGACACTCAATAGAGGTATGAGTGTGGAATGGAAAGACCACAGGAAGATTAGCTTGCTTTACACTGGGCAGACTGGAGAGGAATTGAATAGCATCTGAACCTGATGCCTTTGGGACAAGAGGGAAGCAGCCTGAACAGATCAGGCTATTCATTGTAAACCACAGTTTGCTTGGTTTTAAGTTGGTGTTGGTGCTGTTAGACTAGATAAGATGCTGAGAATGAGATAGTTTTTCCTTTCCACTCTCCCTGGTAGCAACAGTATTTGCCAAGGCTTGTATTTACAATGGAGCTAAAAGGGGAAAAAATTGTAATTTACTGAAAAAAAACTTGTAATTTGAGACAAAAGGTGTATAAAATTGAATGAATTCTCTTGTGTCCAGAAGATAACACATTTTCATCTATTCAGTCCCCCTTTTGTGATGTGTAGACTTGGAGAGCTATTGTACAGGGAAGTTGGTAAAGACACAGCTTCTTTCGAGTTGCACCACTCGGTACAGAGTCTTATGTGGTATAAGCGTGTGAACTGTACTCCTCTTAGCCTTTGATCCTCCCATTTCTAGTGAAACTGCCTATGGATGTGTTTATGTTACAGTGACTGGAGCTCCTATAGGCGTGCTATAGCAGCTGTGAACTAGTAAGTTTGGATACTGCTATAAAAACCTGGAATTCAGTGCTGACTAACCTGTTTAGTAGTTAAACTGATTTTACAAGTAGCGATGAATTGTCAGCTTCTAGTCATATTGCTAGATTGGAGTGCATGTAAACTGCTTCATTGTAGACATGCTTTTGGATGTGTGTGGATATGGTTTTAGGAAGGAACAGTCCAGCTGCTCCCACCAGCTCTTCTTATCTACATTTTTGCTACTTCCCCAGAGCCTATTTGCATATTTTATAGCTGAGTTGGGGAAGGGCCTGAGCTTTTCTGTGTTACTTTTGCATTATATATGGGTGAATGGTAGTGTACTCTTCCCTCCTGTGGCTAATTACACTTACTGTCTTGAGACGTGCACACCTCAAGTGAAAGTATTATGTTCAGAGGATACTGTTTATTGGTAAGTACAGTGATTATCTTTAGAATGGCTATTTTTTATGTGTATCTTTATCTTTTTTTCCCTCGGCTACCTGGGAGACGTTTAGTATTTTGGAAGTGGAAACTATGTTTTTATTAATCGATGTTGTATAAACCTATGTTTCAGGATGTTTTTGTTTTATTTTCTTGCAGTGGAAGCTTTAACATTCCCTCCTTCTTCAGGGAAATCTTTCATTATGGGAACAGATGAAGCCCTTGAAAATGAGCTGGGTCTTGGAGAACTGGCAGGCCTTACAGTAGCCAATGAGGCAGATTCACTGACTTATGATGTAAGTGGTTATTAATGGTAATTCAAGGTCCTACTGTCTACTTGCTGAAGGCAGATGCAAGTTACATGTGTGTAGACTCAGCAGAAAACGTTTTCCTGTTAAAATTATGCCACCAGAGGATGTCACAAATTTTTGCTTGACATACCTGTTCTTCCCATACACAGCAGCCTTTAAGCTCTCTGTAAGCCACTCATCTCATTTGCCTGCCATGCCATTCAAATAGTTGAAAGTAAATGTAATTAGTGATAGGGATACAGCTGGGTATTTGTAACCACAGTGACACTGAGTGAAATTAGGAGTAGCATGGCCAGCAGACTGAGGGAAGTTAATGTCCCCTCTACATGGGGCTGGTGAGGCCATACCTGTATGCAGTTTTGGGCCCCTCCACTTCAGGACTGTTGTAGAGAAACTGGAGTGTCCGGTAGCATGTGACTGATGAAGAGATGTTAAGGGAGCTGTCTTGTTCAGTTGTTAGGAGGCTAGGGGGTGCTTGAATAGCAGCCTACAGGTACTGGAAGGGTGCTTACAAGGGTGACAGAGCCAAGCTTCTCCATAGTGCCTGGTGTTAAAACAAGAGGAAACAGTAGCAAATTATGGCTCAGGAGGTTCCGGCTGGACATTAGGGGAGAAAGTGTTATGTAGTAGGTGGCACTGAAGCAAGTTGCCCAGAGAAACTGTGGAATCCCTCTCCCGGGTGATGTTCAAGACTTGTCTGGGGGAAAGCTGTGGCTTACATTACCTGGTGTGGGCAATAGTCTCATTTCAAATTGGACGCTGAACCAGAGACTTTCTAGGAGGCTCTTGTGGCCACCACTTCTGTGGCTATGCATATAGCCTACAGCTTCTTTCACTTTTTATGAAAAATCTTTCTTAAAATTGCTTCTTTGCAGTCATATGCAATTTTTGTCTGTATTTCTGCTTTCTTGAGAAAAGATACTTCAGGTATTACTTTAATCATTTGCTCCTCTGTGATCTGTCAACTTCAGATTAATCTTGCTATTGCGCTGCCCAGCTCTGTCAAGGTTAAGGGATTTCAGAGATGATGTTTTAGTATTGTGTGTTGGGGAGGAATCCTGCCCTTCAGTAAATCTGACTCTTAATTAATCACCATGTGGGATTTTACTATCACAAATCAAATCCGAGACTTCAGAAAAAACCTGCAGGTCCTTGCTTTCAAGTTCTACCCTTGTATGTACCTGTAAAGCAATAAATTAAATGGTCAACAAAAGTTTACACGCATTTTGAGAGTGACACTGCAGAGATGTGCTCTACTACTATAGCAAGTTTCTGAGCATGTGATGTGTTGTGAATCGTCAGGATTGCAATGATATAGAACATCTCTGCTGAATTTTTAAATTCAGAGGACTGGCAAACCTAAACCATCCATACAGGATCTTAATGCTTTCAGTGCTTGCTTCATTGTTCAAGTGTCCATATAAACTATTGAGTTTGTCCCTGTCTCCATATCCTGAGCTAACAGCTTTCATTTATGGAATCTCACATTTCTTTATCCACCCCTATCCTATTCTGCATGGTTGAGAATATTAACTTCTGTTTGTTCACTTCTCAAATGCCTTTATGGAGTCCTGTGATCAGGAATTCATAGTCAAGCTTACGTCAACTCTTACCTTTTTCTAGTGGTGACAATTAAAAAAAAAAATTGTTTACAAAGCTCCTTGCTCTTGTCACTATGCTCTTCATTGAAGCAAAATGAAAGGCTAGTTTTTCCATTTCAAATTTCACTGGAAGTTTAGCTTACAGATACTATAATCTGTTTTTATTTTGGACTACTTCATACCTTCTTCCAGCTGCCAAATGTGAATCAGGTAGGAGTAGTGAAAATTTAGTATTTTTTTTTAAGTGTCAGTTTTGAATCATATGGAGAATGAAGTTGAAAGATTCATGTGAATTGGTCTTTAAACATATTTCCTCTCAAGAGTTGCAGACACTTTCCTATTTTCAGTCCCTTTCGTCCCACTGACATTTTTACTGGATTCTTTTTTTCTAAAACATGGCAGCATTAGACTACCTCATTTCATGGTTTAAGTTTTCTACATGTTGCTCTGTCTGTCAGTAAATTAGACTGCTTTTCACTGGGTAATGGAGATTATTAATTTATTACATAAAAGAGAAAATTTTCCTTTTGTGGGTAAGTTCTTTAGAATATCTAACAAGATGAAATTTCCCAGATTGGTAGCCAATACTCCTAAGTTTTTCTTCCTTTACACATTGTTGTCTTAACAAACGTTCACTTTGGTTGGTTCTGTTTTTTCCCTAGTGTTCTGCATAGATTAAGAAGCTTCATAAAAATATAATAGACTGAGTACTGTATGTAGGAGTATCTGAACTACAGAATCATTACATTTAATATTTGAAGGTTTTGGACGTTGCAGTAGGCCCTCGCTTGATTTCCTGCAACTTTGAACAAGAGAAGTGTCCATAATCCTACTTGAATAGAATTGCTGTTTCTGGAGTTTTCAAGTTGTCTGTATAGACACAAATATTACTATTAGTGGCAAATCCAGATCAGGTGCTAATTTGGGGTCTGAACCTCCTTCCTGCCCCCTGCCCCAAACTGCTTTTCAGGTCTCACTTACCTCACTGTTTGGCTGCTGTGAGAGCTGTTCTCTCACAGCTTGTGAGAGACTGGTGGGTGAAGAGGAGTGATGGTGGTGCAGACAGGCAGGCGGTGTGTCAGGGCTGGCATCTGTTCCCACTTCTGCTGCTGGTCTGCTGGCTGGGGCTGCCCTCCATCTACTTCCCAATTTATAAGCTGATCATCTTGGACTCCTTTGGAAGAACATCTCTGAATGAATGAAGAGCAAACGGAGAATATTATCCTGCCAGAACTGGCATGCACTGTTAGGCTGTCTGAGGTGTCTTTGTGGCTTTCATAGATGTGACACAGGACCTGTGCTGCTGTTATGGCAGCTGGAGGACAGGCAGGGTTCCCTCCATCACTTAATCGGCATTAGATGCCTGTGTTGAGGCAACCAAATTCCTCTCCAGATATTTGTGGATACTCTGTACCTCTTGTACCCTTTTTGCTGAGACTTTCTTGGCCAATCTCCAGAAAATCTGCCAGAGCTGCTAACTTTGCAGTCCTGCCCCTCCTTGCACCAGCTCAAGCATGTGTCTGTTCCCTTGTTGAGCCAACTCAGCTCAGTACACTCGCAAAAAAACTGACTTGTCTTCCTGAGCAAGACAGTACATAATTACTAAGTAGTATGATGAAACTAAACGTGCTGTTTGTTACAACTCCTTTCTCATTGTTTGAAATCTGTAGAACCTGTTAATTGGAGCATATTTTTATTACTAAATCCAGAAGTAACAAAGCTTAAGGAAAAGCACTTTTGTTCTTAAACCTTCCCCCCGCCTCGCCCCACATTCCAGAATGAAATGTAGGTTCTTGAAGTAGCTCAAAATAGTTGTCTCTTCTTTGCAGTTAATGATACTAAATCATTCGGAATTATCTGTAGCTTTCAACATAATGAAATAATCAATATTTGAGTCACAATTGTTTGTTTTCCTGGTTTTCCATAACCACCATCAGCAGTCATTATGGGAAGGTAAATTTAAATATGGCAGTGTTGACTGACAGAGTGATAAAAGTCTATTCAGCATTTTATGTCAACATTTGTTCAGAGAGCAATGTTGAAGTAACTGTTATTTTTTTTAAGAGCTTTCTGTTTGGATCTGCTAAAATGCATTTATTGCCACATAATTATGTCTGTAAATATGATAGCTTATTGCTCACCAGTTTTGGGGGGTTTCTTGTGGGTTTGTTTTTTTTTTCTGGCAAGCTTTACTTGTCTTGCATTATTACAGAGCTTGTGTTGCCTTAGGTGAGTAAGTTAGGTTGTGTTCCTTTCTGTGCTGCTAGACTTCTCTATTTCTCTTAGATCTTTACTTCAGAGATGCCCTGTCAGTGGTACTTCGGATATTCAGGGACCACAGCTTGGTTGAGTCAGGCCATGTTAATGAATGAGCCAGTAGGTATAGATCAAATTTCAAATACCAAACTAAGTTCACAGCACTATCAGTCAAAAAGGTACTTTTCAGCTTTTACATTGTGTAACTTGACAGACACATGGAGTATTTCATATTTGCACACAGTGTATTACTGTGGATGCAACATTACTGGTTGCCTTTGTGGAATACATCTGCCTTTGTTCTCATTTTGAATTGTCTGATCAGTGTTAAAGGGACTGTTGCTCAAGAGCAGCTTGTTATGAGAAGTGGGTGAGGTAATTTGACATCTTCTGAAAATGCCAAACTAAATTTCTGATTTCTTCCTTTCCTTGTGCCTTCCAGATTACTTACAAGTTTGGCATTTTTTTTTTATTAGATAGCAAACAATAAGGATGCATTGAGAAAGACTTGGAACCCCAAATTCACATTAAGAAGTCACTTTGATGGAATAAGAGGTCTCGCTTTTCATCCAGTTGAACCAGTCTTAATAACAGCTTCAGAGGACCATACATTAAAAATGTGGAATTTACAAAAAACAGCCCCAGCAAAAAAGTAAGATTGTTTTGTTTTGTTTCAAAAAACATTTTCATTCATGGAAGAAACCCAAAAATTGTAGATGCCACTTCACTGGATGGCCTTTGTTGTTAATGGAAATTGTTCCTTGAATTCAAGAGTAGGAAAACAAGCTCTTAGAGAAGAATGGAGATTTCTAAAGAGTGCCAGAAGAAATCCATGTGTGTTTGTGAATGTGTTTTGTTTGTGAAAATGAAAACCATTCACTTTTTTGTATTTTCTGTGTAGATAACATGGCAAATTAATTTACTAGTGAAAATATTTGAGTGTGGCCTGTTAGTGTGCTTGCATGTGTATATAAATGTATAAAAATGCATTTTTATATATATGTGTACACATATATGTGTATAGATGTGTATAGCTTTGAACTTTGACTGAGATGTTGCTAGGTTCCGTTGTACACTGTCTTTTGCATGTTGCTGGGGATTTGCAGAAATGAGAGCAAATTCGTAGTGGGGCTAATATAGTAAGGGAGTACATCATACCTTTTAGGAGGACTGGGCAAAGCATGTGGTCTTCTTGCAGTCTGTAATGAGCACTGGATTGTTAAAGTCCAGAGCAGCAGTTTTTGAAGTGGCTTGTAACTGTGCTACAGCATTGATATAAAACCAAGGTGTCATAAGCTCCTTTGCTCTGGGTAGGGATTTGGAACACTTAATGATATATTACATGTGATACTGATGGCCCTCCACTCCTTCCCTACAATTGAAGTACCTACCTACTGGTTTGACTGGTATGTGAGAGTTTGTGGCCTCTCTACCTTGAAGGTCTTTAAACAAAAAACCAAACCAACAAATCCTATCATATTTGGAAAGAATGCAAAGAATTCCTAGACATATGAAAAATCATGTTGGGAGAGGAAGTTGTGGGGAAACACTTCAAAAGACATAGCAGTGATTTTAAGAATTTAGCCATTCTGGCACGTTATGGTAAAGCATTGTGTAAGTTCATACACATGCTAACATTTTCTTGTACTTCATTTAGGAGTGCTTCTCTTGATGTAGAGCCAATATATACCTTCAGAGCACATAAGTGAGTATTTCCTGAGAAACACTGTCATATTTTGAGAAATAGGTGATTTTTAAATGACGCAGAATCTTTTTAAAAAGTAATTTCCACCTTGTCAGAAAGTGATTGCTTGTGATGCTTTTAGTTCCCATGCTATTTAAAATATCTGCATATGTTCATCTCCTTTCTGCATAATTATTTATGTCTGGAGCTAGGTACACCACAGTTTTAAAAAGAAAAACCTACAAATTATACAGTTCAAATTCAATTAGGTGTTCTGTTCATCATTGCAGCTTTTGCTTCTTTGTCAGATATGTGCATCTGTAAAATGAAGTTGCTTGCAGTGAATTTAAATCTACTGAACTGATTTCATGAAAGAGACTTAGATCTTTAAAAAAGGGAAAAAAGCTGTTTATGCAGACTAACAAAGCCTATAGTTTAAAAGCATGACACTTTTCACATTTCATGTGCATAATGATTAAATTGTCCTGATTGTAGTTACAGTACCAAATACTGTGGAGGTTTTTTTGTGGGAAGTGTTGTAGCATATGGTCTGACTCTGCAGAATTTTTATTGCAGTCGTGCAGCAAGTGAATTGTATCTAATGGGGAAATTTGAAGATTCTACTGATTTTTTTTGTTGGGTTTTTTTTGTTTGTTTGTTTGTTTTTTACATAATGAAAATGTTAATAGTCAACATTTCTTTTTGGGGGACTTCTTCCAGTGGACCAGTGCTCTGTGTGGTGATGAGCAGTAATGGTGAACAGTGTTACAGTGGGGGAGCAGATGGCCTCATCCATGGCTGGAATACAACCAACCCAAACATCGATCCCTATGACTCTTACGGTACGTTGCTGTCACACACACCAGTGAAATGATACATTTAGTGACATTAATGTTATGTGGCTAAAATAGTAAAATTTGTAGGTAATGCTTCTTTGAGAATTTAAAAAAGAAAATTGAATGGCTTCAATTACTTTTAGTAGTACTGATCCTGGTTCATGAGAAGATAGAATTTGTCAGTTTCTTTAAAAAGGCCTTGATCTCATCACAATTTTGAGAAACACCTAGGTTGAAAAAGTACAGGACTAAACCTGATACTTGGCAAGTACAGCAAATATGTATTTTAACGTTCTTTTCTTCAACAAATCTCTGTGCAGCTGAGATAAAAAGAAGTTGTATAGTCTGAGACCAAAGTTGTTAATGTTGCCTGCAAACAGCTAAAAAGGCCCAGTTTGGTAAGATTTACCAGATCTGAACGGACGTCAGCCTTGTGTCTGTGTTCTAAAACATTTTTCACTTCTCATAGCTTCAGATGCGGTTGGCCTCAAAGCTGGCTTTTGGGAAAAAGGGACTGATGTTCCATTAATGGTTTTTTTGAGAGTGAATTTTAAAATCAAAGTGTGTTTTTCGAACTTTGATACTGCCCCTTCTGCTGAGAAATTGTTTTGTTCCATTAGTTGTAAACTGCATAACTGAATGCCACATGTGCTGATGAAATTCAAGCATCTTCGTACAAGAATAATTGAGACTTCTGTATTGCTATGACCTGATTGATCTTGGTTGTTTTATGGACTGGCTTTTTAAGGTTGGTCCATAAACACAGACCAAGATACAACTATTGACTTAATTCAAATTTTGTTTTGAAATGTGTTTTCTTGTGTTTTGTTTGCAGATCCTTCTGTTCTAAGAGGTGCTTTTGTAGGCCATACAGATGCAGTCTGGGGTCTGGTTTACAGTGGAGCAAACCAGCGTTTGCTATCCTGTTCAGCAGACGGCACTATACGTCTATGGAAAGCTACAGAAATTGCTCCAGCTCTCAATATATTTAATGATAATCAAGGTACAGAAAATTGCCCTACCTTAAAGTGCATGAGCATCACTATTCAGATTGCCATAATTTTGGCTACTGAATAGAAATCTATCTTGTTTGATTTGCTGGATTTTATATCGTTATGAATGTTTTGGGGAAGAGTAAATTTTGGATCCCTTCTCCTTTGATGCCAGCTGAATAGATACCTACACACAGGGGGACAGTCACTTACATCTAAAAGCCAACTGCTGCAGATGGTCTGCTGATGTTACTAGAACCATGGAGTATAATGTATCAACTCCGTAGTTCAGATTCAAACTGAGTTTCCATTAGGCCCTTGCTTTTGGTTTGTCCAGAATAAAGAAAGCCTTTCTTCCCCCAACAGAGGTTTGGAGTAGTCAGTGCTTTGTCTCAGGCCCGTGTCATTGTACCTTCCAGATTATGTTCCTTGTGCCTCTAACACACATATTCTAGTTGAATTTCTGAGTTTGTGCATTAACTAAATAGCAATAACCTAGTCATCCTAAACACTGCTACACAAAAATTAACTCCAGTTACTGAAATGTCATGCACAAATCAAAATCCTACTGTTTAGAGCCTAATTGCTTGAAGTTGCTGTCTAAGCGCTCTAGAATGAGCCTGTTGACATTGCCAAACTCTCTTAGACCTGATGGTCCTAAAGGCAACCCACAAACCAAGACAGTTCGTTGGCTCTTCAGAACAACTTTGAGGCCAAATAAACTTTGACATAACTGAACAGACTGACTGAATTATGATGTAAAGCTGGTCGGATCTGCCATTATGTGTTAGTTAAAACAGACTGAGCAAAACAGAAATGTTTCACGTGTTTTAGTTCTTGCAGAACTATGTTTCCAAAGGTCTGCAGGGTTCTGTGAAAAACATAACTGGTTTGCTGCCAGCTTGCCTACCTGTCTACTTTTAAAACTTCCTGGTAGTGTTTTCTTTTTGTTTGGGATTTTGTTTGTTTGTTTTGTTTTGATTTTTGGTTGGTTGTTTTTTAATTATTAAATTAAGGGGGGAGGGGGAGTATTCTTGCCTCACAGAGTTAATCTTGGGGTTTTTTATATTCCAAACCGGAATGAAACCCAGTTGTGAAATTCAAAGATCCTCCTTTGAAACTGAGTTTTCCTATGGCTTATTGAGAACCTTGAACAAACTCTCTAAAATATCTAGCAGTCATCATTTAAGTCCTTTAGATTAACCATTGTAGGCTTACCAGGAAGCTGCAGATAAGCAGGCGTGGCAGTGGTAGAAAAGGTCACTTCAGAAACAATACATGCTTTCTTCTTACACCAATCCTTTTTGGCTTTTTTGGAGTACCTCTAGATAAGTACCACCATTGCTGACCAGCATTCCTGAGGTCATGTGTCCAAAAAAGATGTTTTTCCCATGAATCTTAGGTTTAGAAAGAGGCGATGATATTCCTGCGTTATCTGGATCCATGGACATTAGGTTGCTTAACAGTCAGTGTTTCACACTTCTTCCTGGCATCTGTTGCAACCGGTGGTGTTCTTTCACTTAGCGGGTGGTGAGCAGGACATTCGAAGAGAAAAATTCTAAGGGATATTTTCTATACCCAAGCTCTGCTGATTTGGCCTTCTGTCCTATAGTGCTCAGGTAGCTACAGTGTAAGATCAGATGTATACCATAATAGGCAGGATGGACGAAGCCTTGTAATATGAGTTTATAAAGTATTTATGCAACTTTCCATGCTGATAGTGTCAGCATATAAAACCTGCACCTGGAAAGCTCTGGAGTTTTTTAAGCTCTGAATTTGCCCAGGTTAATAATAACATTAATCATCTGTCATGTAGGTGGTTTTACCACTTCAATTTTATGTCCTTTTACTTGATGCAATGGAGGTTTGTTTGAGAATTAAAGGAAGGAAAAGGGGTCAGGGTGTTCTTACTTTCTTAATTTCAAAGTAGATTTCTGTCCAGCTGCAGTTTCAGATGCAGCATCTTAGTAAAGAATGTTGATATGTATAACAGAAAAATAGGATTAAAATAGTGATCATACAGGGCAATCTATTTAGATTGGCATAATGTAGATTTTAAAATGTAACATTTCCTTTCATAATCATGGCCCTTATGATATTAAAGTCCTTACTGGTTGGGGTTTTTGTTTGTTTTTTTGGTTTTTGTTACACCAACTAAATCTTATGGAAATGTTCTCTACATTGTTTTCTAGAAATGGGAATCCCTTCGTCAGTAGATCTTGTGAGCAGTGACCCAAGCCTCATGGTAGCATCATTTAACAGTGGACACACTAGCATTTTTAACATGGAGACACGGCAACGAATTCTTACCCTGGAGTCCAGTGTGGATACTAGTATGTATTTAAAAAAAAAAAAAAAAAGCTTGTTTAAGATCGATACTGTTGATAGTCTTTTCACTGTTTCCAATTAGGCAGTGTCATGATAAATTATAACATGAATTATGTTACAAGCTGTGTTTTTGAGATGTAACAGTAAATTATTACTACTACAGCAGACCTTGTGGGTATTTCAGTAGCAGAAGAGTACACGTACTTTTGAATGAAGGTAAAAGAAACAAGCCCACACTATCTGAGTTCCTCTTCAAGGAACAGTAGCACAAGGAAAAGCACAGGTTTCTTCTATACAGCCTCATGATCTTTGCAGCTTCAAGATTTCCATTCTCTCCGTAGTCAAAATTGCAAGATAGAGGTAATATCAGGAAAATCTAAAGTTGAATTTATTAAAAATTTGGGAGTTTGTGTTTGTGGATTCTTTTTTCCTATTTTATTTTCCTCCCTTTTCTAAGTTTTATATATGCTCTTGGTTCATTTGCAGTTGGGCTTTAGTTGAAGTTTTCACTGTAGAAGAAAAGCAAAGCTCCAGTGGAAGAGTATTCACAAGGTCCGATATAGTGCCTAGGATCATGGCAGTGGCCAATATCAGAAGTTTTAGAGGAAACTGTAGGGAGCCTGCTATCAGTAAATTATTTTGCCCTGGCATTAGAAAAGAGAGAGGAATGAGCTGAAGCATGAAGTTTCATATTCAGGCTAAAATGGTAGCCTGTTAATAATATAAACTTCAGTCTTTTTTAAAAATTTGATAATTTTTCCCCTGAAAGTTTTGTAACTGAATTCTACCATTTAATTATATTTTTAAAAGGGAGTAAGCCCTTCTTGTTGGCTTTGCTTGTCTGTTTTAAAATAGTTAAATTACTGTGTCATTTTATAAGAGGGAATGGAAAGTGCCATTTCCCTTCTTTATATTATTCCTTACTGTGCAGGATTTCCTTTTTTAACCCACATCTTTATTCCTGTCTGAAAAACCAGTCTTTAATCAGTTATCTCTACTCTGTGGAAGTTACCTTTCTTCTTTTTTTTTTCTTCTATTTTTTTCATCACCTCCTCCTTTTTGTAATTCAGTAATATTCCTTTAAGAAAACGAGACCGTGGTGTGACAACCAGCAGTCCCTGTTTAGTATATTTAGTTATGCAACAGTACTATAAAGCTTACATGTATTTAAAAAAAAAATATTATTTCTACAAGAACTAGGCAAGAGTCACCTGAAATAACCTACCACCACCACTTAGGAACTCGCTGTTCAGTATAAGCCTCACTCTACTTGGCATTTTAAAACTGTGAGGATAGCTAGCTGTGATGCAGTCTCATGTGCTTTTAGTAATTTTAGGGGGGTTTATTAATATGAATGTGTTTTTTCCTTAATTTGCACTTCCATAATTTTGAAGTGTCCTGTGGATGCTGACACTACTTGACAGTTCAGATTTTTATAGAAAGATGTAAATTGATGTCTTTACCACCTTAGTAGCAAGTGGTCCTATAGTAGTACTCTATTTTGTTTATTTTAGTAAGAATTTTGATTAGATGATGTGAGTGTTCCTTGGCAGCAGTTTAACTAAATACAGTCAACTCCCACATGAAAGAAGATAAGTGTATTTTGCTGTTCTGTGAAGTGGCTATTTGTGTTTTTGTGGTAATTATGCCTCTTAAGACCACACTTGCAATAGGCTGTGCGTCAGAGCAATGCCTAGATTTCTAATCAAAAAAGTCCTATACTTTATTGGGGGGGGGGGGGGGGGGAGTGGGGTGTATGTGTATATATATGATATTTCAAGATTCTTGAAGGCTAGGAAAGTGGCTCTCCTATGAATAGTCTAACATCCTTTTCTTCAATAAGAATTTTAATCCATGTATATCAAATAGTAGTAGGTGGGTTTTGCTCTGTGAGGGTGAGGGCATGGGATCTTGTTTGCTTGGAAACGTGCTGCCTGTGGTGTTAATTTTCCCGTACTGTCTGTATGTTATGAAAAAAGTTCGGCTTTACAAAAGGAGGAGTGTGGAGGTGGGGCAGTGCAGAAAAGGTATTTTCACTCACTTTTTGGCTTCACGTTCTTGGCTGATGCACCCATCTAAAATCATGGCCAAAAGTTGAACCTTATTTGTTCGTATTTACACTCATACATATGGTTTTATATATGCCTCTGTGTGTGTGTAATTTGGAAAGTATTTTAGATTAAACCACATTACATAAGGTGCTGGCTGAGAATTTCCATTATATAAAGGAAAGAATTACTTTGCAAATAAGATTGATTGCATATTTATTTCTTAGTAGCAGTATTTCAAAGAACTTAGCAATTTACATGTATTGATATGTGTGGGTTTTTTCTTAGCAGTCAGTTCCTCCTGTCAGATAAACAGAGTCATCAGCCATCCAACTCTTCCAATTAGTATCACTGCTCATGAAGACAGACACATCAAATTCTACGACAACAATACAGGTATGCATCTTTTCAGCAGGTCCTAGTCATAGCAGTTGTATAACAAACATAAATGGAATTTTATTATGATTAATATTATTCACATAAATGCTGAGGGATGTCAAGAATTGGATATCCTCTGAAACAGAACTCTCTCATCACCAGTAGAGCCCAAAGATTGCCAGCCCACTTAAAACTTTATTGGCACAGTGATAAGGAACCTGCATCATCCTCTGTCCATTCTTTTAAAATGCCTTATGTATGGGAGTTATCAATATTTCACATAAAAGGAAGCTTTTTCAAAATCTTCATGTGCTTATGTTCATGTTTCTTCTGTTATGTTGTCTGTGTTATTTTGATCTGAGGGCAGGAAGCTCTGGCACTCCTTTAGTGCTTCCAAGACGTCTGCCTGATGGCTTGGAGGTAGAAGTTCCCTTGTAGGCATCGTTCTCAATTTGATCCACTGTATTTCTCTAGATCTCTGACTTCTGCAGAAACAGCTGGACAGCTTATAATACTTTTTCTCTTTTTTAGTGAGAGTTTCACTGAGATGTGTATTTATAAACTTTTAGGTTTTAAAGGACTTTTTGATAGGAATGGTAGTATTAATCTGGTATTCTGACTGTGGATCTTGATAATCTTCAGTTTGTGACTTCTCTGCTTCCAGGTCACACTGACTTAAAAGTTAAATTGATGTCTTTCAATACTTTTGTTATTTTAAGGTTGCTACTCTCCAGATGTATATTAAATAACAAGAAGTGAAAGGACCCAATGGAAGCTGAAGAAAAAGCTGAAAATAGCTGATTTGTTTGATGATGTAGTTCTGTAATAAATAGGAGAGGAAACGGCCATGCATTCCCCCCCCCCCCCCCCCTCTTTATTTTTTTTTC